CTGGGGACTTGCTTGGTGTCGGGTGGGTTTTAGAATGGGGTGCATTATAGTGGCAGATTTTTCTATCCCTGTGTCGCTAAAGCATAATTATTTAGATGGATTCTTCCGGAAAATCCTGGAATACCGAGGAAGCTTCACGGGGAAGAGGCACATCCATGTGCAGAAATAAATCTCATGGAACCTTGGAAAGGGCTTTGGTGGCAGAAGCAGTTTAAGGCCAGCATAGTCTTGGGTTCAAATTATTGGTTGTAAAACTCACCAGCAAGAGTGTGGAAAAGTTATTCAACAGCTCTGAGCCTCAGTTTGCTCTTTTGTGCAAAGGACACAATTAGAATAATCATACCAAAGCATCATTAGAAGGATTGACTGTCGTGGTCTCTACGCCTGGGCACTGGCATCATCAGAGTCAGGGATATGTATGTTAAGGCGAATTTGGACAAAAGGCTGTGGATCCCCATGAGGAAATAGGTTCAGGTAGGTCCCAGGCTGCCACTGCACTGGGAAAGTACAGCATGCAGGCTACAAAGTTGAGAGCTGCCTTCAGGGCCTGAACTGCTCTTAGAAAACTGACCCTGCAGTCTGTCTGGCAGGTTGGAGTCCCGCATGTCATCAGATCTCGGCCACATCCTGCAGCTGCTTCAGCAGTCAGTGCCGCAGGGCCAGACCAGCTACACCCTAGGAGGCCCTGCCTCCAGTGACCTGGCCTTGTTTCCTGCAACTCAGAGTCCAAGGCCCATGCTGTCCCCAGGCCATCTGCCCCCTGCACAGGTGAGAGGTGAGGGGGTCTCCAGGGGATTCCCCGGAAACAGGTGAATGCCCTCCTCATCCCCAACTTGTTCAGAATGTGGCATCAGGTCCAGACCCTCAGTGGCTCCAGAGCAGCTGTGGCTTCTGCTGTCCTCTATGATTTGAGTCATCATGACAGGATCGTTTGGACAAGGTGGTAGCAGATCCTCGACTGCAACCCCAAACCCCACAGCTGAGGCAAAGACCCTGAGGTGTGGGAGGAGGAGTTTCATCCTTCAGGTCAGAGTAGACTAACTCCCATCCTGGCCTGGGAGCTCTCCCATACACAGCATACTTCCATCTTTTTTCCCCTTCCCAGAACCTACCTTATGGTGACCTGAACAAATGTATACCGAAGCACAGGAGTTCCTCTTCCAGGATGCCTCACCTGGCTGTGGCAGTAGAGAAAACCTCGATGACATCCTTGGAACAAGAGCAGCCTGATGGGCTCCTGTCACCCCTGGCCTCACCTCTGTGTCCCCTGGAGGTACAGGGACTTGTCTGTGGTCCTCGCTTCCCCTCCCTCCCTGAACACCTTGGCTGTGTTCCCAAGCAGCTGGAGTTCCAGAGATATGGCTCAGATCCTGGATTCACAAGGAGTTAAGGCCACTGAACTCCAAGATAAAAGCCATCACAAGGAGATTAAAAGTGGCTGAGAATAAAGGATGTTGGGGGGAAGCAGACAGACCCCCAAGATGGGCCTATGAAAGCCATTGTCCTAGAGTAAGTACAAACGACTGATCCAGGTGAGCTCAGGTGACACAAAGGCTCAAGACTTTGACCAGCCCTCCTTGGGAGCTCTGTGCAAGCCCTGCCAAGGGTGGGGGAGCTCAGGCGCAGAAGCAGGTTACAGGATGGAGAGATCAGTGAAGGAAGAAGCCTCTGATCTTCCCTGTGAGCCTTGCTCTGGGCTGTGTGTGTGATTACCTCCTGACTCAAAACTGGCCACCACCTCAAGGTCTAGTACTAAGGAACAGGCTTGGATAGAACTCCTGCCAAGAGCGTCCAACCAGGCTAGAGGTAAAGGCATCCTCTATGGTAGACATGGGGAGCAGAATTTCAGTCTTTATCCCTGATTATTATCAGTCTTCATCCCTGATAGTACCATGACCATATGTGGGTCCCTTGAAGGCAGTGGAATGTTATGCAGCTAATAAAGTCAGCACATTTCATGTTGGGTTTGATGTGTAATTTATCTAAGGGTCATCAAATTCTTGACTGTGTTGTGACCTTCTCGAGGAGCTGGATGGAGGCTCACTCTTCACCACATCCAGCATGTTGAAGACCTGAAGGTGACTCACCTGGGGCTGTTAACCAGATGGGTGAGGGGAAGCAGATATGGCTTGGTGGCCACAGGGAATCATGACAACAGTGAATACTTGCATAGCACTCACTGTGTGCCAGACACCATTTGACTGCAATGAAGACACTAGTTTAATCCTCAAAACAATTCTGAGAGGTCATGTGATTATCCCCACGTTAGAGATGTGGGATCAGTAGTGGAGAGACTAAGAAACTTAATATGAGGGGGACTTCTGGATACTAGTATTATTCTGTTGCCTGATATGGTACTGGTTACACAAGTATGTTCAGGTTGTAAGAACATGTACTTCCATGGGTAAATTACACTCGTTTATTTTTTTTTATTTTTTGGTACTGGGGATCAAACTCCGGTCCTTGCGCTTGCAAGGCAGGTGGTGGAACTGCTGAGCTAAATCCCTGGCCCTCAAAAATAGAGAGGGTGCTGAGTGTGTGTTACAGCTGTAATGCCAGCCACTCAGGAAGTGGAGGCAGGTGGACCACAAGCTCAAGGGCTGTGTCCCTGACTCAAAATAAAACAGTAAAAAGGTCTGGGGGTACAGTTTAGTGGTGGAGTGCTTGTCTAAGCATGCATGAGGTCCTGGGTTCAATTCCCAGCATCAAAAACAAAAATAAGGCCGGACATTTAGCTCAGTGGTTCCACCACCTGCCTTGCAAGTGCAAGGACCCGAGTTCGATCCCCGGTACCAAAATAAATAAATAAATAAATAATAACAAAAACAAATGTCCAACACAATAGGAAAAGGACATGATTTCACCCCCAAACGGTCTGGTCTGAGAGCATGGGCAGGTTAGTCTGTCTGCTGGAAAGGGCTGATGCCCCTAGAGTAACTGGTCACTGGTATTTAGTCCTTTACTCTGTAAAATAATTATAGAAAATAAAAATGTATATCCTCTCTCACATTGTTGATATCTGAAATACTTCACTGGTAAATTTAAATATTTGTAAAGGATGTAACGTCCATTGTGTTGTAAATGTTAACACTGTTATTCCACGCTAGTATTGACCTACTTACATCCAAACCACATAGTGATTTTAATATTGATTCATTTCCATCCAAAGAGCATAGTGATTTTAGGGCCTCCTGAATGCTAGGCAAGGGCTCTATCACTTCCTTTTTTAAATTAGGCTACCACTAGGCTACCTCGCCTGGCCTTAAACTTGTGATCTTCCTGACAGGCATGTGCCACTGTGTCCAAGAACATCATCCATTAAAAATATATAGTTTTAAAATTATAATTAGACTGTTGTGGCAAAGCAGAACAGCTCAGTGTCACAGCTACCAGAATTTGAAAACTAGAGAATCCAGTGGTCACTTGAAGAGCTGGAGAAAAACCTTCATTACACTAGTGAGCTCAGTGGAGCTCCTACTCTGAAGTCTGAGTCCTTAACCAGAAATGAGAGCCTCCATATATAGCGATCTACAGGGTAGGCGAGCATGCTCACTGCAGCAGAGGGGGCGGAGTTAGACTGTTCCAGAAACCGGCTGGGTAAGCATGCTCACTGAAGCAGAGGGGGCCCTTATAGAATATTCTTTGCAAGGGGGCGGATCTTAACAGAACATTTTTGTAGGGGCGGGGCTAACGGTACACTCCTGGGAAGGGAGGGGCCAACGGAACTTTCCCGAGAGGGGCGGAGCAAACGGAACACTCCTGAGAGGTTACAAAATATTTTGATACATTGGGCGGGAGGCTGGCCAGCAGCACAAACTGTTACATTTCTGGAACAAAACAGTCTGGGGGGTGTGGTGGAGGCAAGGCAAGGCAAGGGCCTGTCTCATTGTATAGTATTGCTCTATCAAGACAACAATTAGCAAAAAATGTTTAAAAATAAAATGCTTTTCTTTCATAAAAAAAAAAAAAAAAAAAAAAAAAAAAACTTACCTTGCCGGGGATTTAGCTCAGTGGTTCCGGCGCCTGACTCGCAAGCTCAAGGACCAGAGTACGATCCCCGGTACCAAAATAAAACTCACCTGCAGAGAAAACTTGTCCACATAAGTAGACAGGCCTAAAAAAGGGTTGTTACGTAAAAATTCCTTGAATTCTTTGTAAATTCTCACATTTATTATTAAACTATTTTTAATGATTTCTAACAATCCAGTACAAACCTTCAACTCTGTTGAAAGTCAAAAGTTGGAGACCACCTAAATTTATAACTATGTGACCTAGATTCAGATCTTTCCCCATTTCAAGCTCGCTGCATAGATTCAGGAATTAGCTTTGCCTTGGGGCCCACGGAGAGATGAGGACAGGATGGAAACTGACAAAAACTTGGAGCCAAGCTACTTGGGTTGTTGCCCACTGAAAACCAGCCCTAAAATTCGGGAACATTTCTAGAGTCTGAAGAAGGGCAAGGGAAGACCTGACTTAGGCTTGTTGCTAGGTTCCTGGAATAACGGCACTTCATGTTTAAAGTGGCCATGGGGCAGGAACATGGTTCCCCTTTGACATTTGCCAATGTCAGACCTCGGAGCTCTGCGAGAGACAAGTAGCAGGTCCACCATTAAGGTGGAATTTTAACTTGACAGCGTGAAGATGCCTCTCAGAATAACAGCAGCGGAGAGGAAGATAGCGAGTCACATAGAGGTTTCACTCTCAGGGACTTGGCCTAGAACTTGGGTCCCCGATGGTCGCCTCCCGGTCACGAAAATGCCCATTCACCCGCACAACGCCGTTATCTAGCTGACTGACACCTTGGCCAGCCAATGACATTTGGGGTTGTCAAAGCTCCTGCCTCGAGGAGTTGGGCGGGGCAAGGAGTTGGAATGACAGACATTCACACCAATAACGAGGAGTTTTCAGAACTACTGCCGCAATAACCAATGAGAAGAAGGAATAGTTTAAAAAGGACGGGTCAGGCAGCCAATGGTTGGCCCTGCCGCAGAGGTCGCGTGGCTTCCGTTCCAAGAGAGCGGGGCGGCATCCCAAACGGAAGGTGGTGGTTGTGGGTGCAGAAGCTGGTTTGAAAGTGGGGGTCGGGCCGGACCGTCGTTGTTTGTCGCCGTGGCCCCGCTTCCGGGCTAGGCCGTTCCTGCCTGTCTCTGCCCCGCCTTCCTTCGGTTCTCTAGGTCCCAGTCCCGGCTTTCAGCGGGACTCGCTCCCCGCCTGCCCCCGCCCGCTGTCGCTTCGGACGGCTCTGCGGCCCCGCCGCCACCATGTCCCTGCACGGCAAACGGAAGGAGATCTACAAGTATGAAGCGCCCTGGACCGTCTACGCCATGAACTGGAGCGTGCGGCCTGACAAGCGCTTTCGCCTGGCTCTGGGCAGCTTCGTGGAGGAGTACAACAACAAGGTGGGCCGGGCAGGGGCTCGGAACCCAGCTGGCGGGGAGTAGACCCGGCAGCGCCCTTTGCGGGCCGGCGCCCAGACTCCAGAACCCTCCTACACACTCGCCTTAGCGCCCCAGAGCGTCTCCTCTGTGCCTGGCCCGGTACTGAGGGTTTTATATTCTTTGTCTCGGTTACTCTTGGCAGTATTCCTGCGTACTGAGGAAACTGAGGCACGGTGTTGTGACTTGCCCGTCGCAAGCAGGTATTTCGTGGTGGTAATAAATTTCAAACCCGAGTTTATATCCCAGAGTTTTGCCATTTGTTCCACCCGTTCCCACGAGTCCTGCCGCATTGCTTCAACTGTCGGGGCTTGAGACGCAAGAGGGAGTGATGGCTGTGAAGAAAAAAATGCAGACATTTCATTTGGTGGTCGCGCATTCCTGGCCACACTAGATTTGTTAATACAGTTTATTGCATGGGCTTTTCTGCCTCCTACTTCCACCCCCATTTACTACTAGTGGATTTCCAGTCTGTCAGGATTGGCCTTTCTGTTGCTTCCTGGTATCCATCATCTTCAAAGCAGTTTTGTTGGAAAGTGGCCTCTAGTGTGATCCTGGCATTGTTCTTGAGGAGAAAAGATGACATTTTATCTGATCTATCCTTTGCTTCTTTCACGTTGGTTTGCGATCTTTAGTAGTAAGTTTTGCTCTTGTTGAATGACCATCAATTTGAGAATCCTTCATTGAAGTACTAGTAGGAGAAGCTTTTAAGCTTGTAGTGCGAGATAAATGTGTTTTTTGAAAGTTGCTGGGAAAAGTTTTCTTTCCTTTATTTGTTTCTTTATTGTATTAAAGTTGTGAATGATTGTGATCAGGGAAACTGGAAACTTCGGCTAGTAGTGTTGAAAGCCAGTATTTCTTTTTACTGACGTGAACATCAGACTTAAGAATAAGATGTGGACAGTGACAAGCTTGATTTAGGGGTAAAAATACCAGGTGGTTTAGAATTAAGTCCACTGACAAACTATGAGATGTTGAACAAGCCAGTTGTATGTTTGACCTACAGCTTGCTTCAGGAATCGGATTCTGTTTACGTGTGGAGGTCTGGTAAAAATTTCTTCAAATATTTTAGGTTTGTTAATAGTGTTTCAGGAGCTCACATATATCTCTGGAATACTTCCTAAGTTTGGTATCTACTTTGAGAAAGAAATGAAAGGCATGAATTCTCAGGTGGGAATTTAGCTCAGTGATGCCACAGCAAGTGCAAGGTCCTAAGTTCGATCTGCGATACCAAAAAAAAAGGCATGAATTCTCATTGCCACCTTACACGGACACAAATCCCAGGAAGCATACACTGATGCACCCTGACCCAGGCAAGACATAGCTTTATCTTTTTTTCTGATGATTCTTTCTGCCATGGTGGACACAAAACTGGGAATGGAATTGAGACCTGATGTGAATACTGTGTTAAGGTTAAGACCACTAGAACTATTATTTAAAGATATGTGAAAAGTAAAACATGTCTTTCGAAGGGCTGGAGTCTTCATACAAATCAATTTTTTTTCTGTAAGTTCCTGCAAAGTCACTGGGTCATCAGTAGTAGTCTCTGAGAGGAGAGACAGCCACAGCTAGACTGCTGGTACACTCAATGGAATGACTGATGTCCAACTTCAGTTCAGGAGCGCTATCCCTAAGTTTGTCCTTTCACTTAGCAACTGTATGGAGATCTTTCCTAGTGCCAGGCACGTAGATATTGTGTCCTTAGTTGTGAAATGCAAACCAGTAATCCCACTGTTAACAGAACAAGCAGTTAACTATATCTTAACTCACATGATGGAGGAAATATGAAGTGAAAACTATTGTGCTTCCACTTATCTGTAAGTCAGGGTTCTTGCCATATGTGTGTGCCATGAAGGACGCTTTTAGTAAGCTAATGCCAGCAGACCTCTTCTTGTGATAATGTTTTCAAGTACATAAAATACATAGGATTCCAAAGGAAACCAATTACATTGAACTACAAATATTAGGGTTTTTAAAAAAGATGGTGATGTAGTAATATGTACCTTTAAGTTAACTCACTAAAATAAATGATATTATCCAATGTAATTTCCATAGTTTGAAGTAGTGAAGATAAAAATATTTTAAGATGTTTAACACCTGTAATGTGATATGAAGAAATTGTGATTCTGTTGACAACAGAGTCATAGATACTTATACTGCTTTGTGTGGCTGCCTCCATTCATAATTAAGGAAATAGTGTGTTTGAATTAGAGGTTAGTGGAGATAAGAGTATAATTTTCTAGTTCAAGTTCATAGAAAGTTAAGAAACCTTGTTATACAGGATGTGTGTCTAGGAGTTGACGGGCAATACAACCCACTTTAAAGCAGTGGTGTTCAAGCTGTTTTGGGGAGATTCTGCCATGGTGGTGACAGACCTTGTAATTTAGAGGAATTTAAAAAATTAAAATATTTAGATCTTAGATTCCTGCTTTCTGTAGATAGTGAATGCCAGCAAAAGGCAAAATGACAGCAAATTAACATTGATGAAAAGACCCCAAAATGGTTTTCTTTTTTCATGTGAACAGACTGACTAAGAAAACATGATAATAGGGCTGGGATTTAGCTTGGTGGCACTGTACCTGCCTCGCAAGTGCAAGGTCCTGAGTTCAATCTGGGGTACCAAAGGAAAAAATGATTATAAATTTTAAATTTTAGTATTAACATGATTATGATTTCCTATTATGAAAAAAATGTTCATAGTTGGTCCATAGAATTAAATCTGTAAGATTTCAAGTCCTTTGGGGCCGGAGATTTAGCTCAGTGGTTCTGCTGCCTGCCTTTCAAGGGCAAGGTCCTGAGTTCAATTCCCTGGTACCAAAAAAAAAAAGATTTCAAGACCTTGACTTCCAGGTGTTCCTTGATGAGAATAAATGTAGGAATCTTGCAGAATAAAGAAGCAGATTCTATCTACTTGGCTTAGAATGCATGCCCTGTTATTGGTGGTGTAGTTTACATTCTTTTTTGGGTGCTGGAGCAGTAGATTTTGGTATTAGAAGAATGGTTCTCTAAATTTTAGTGTGTAAGAATTCCCTGAGGGACTTGTGCATTCCTGGGCTCCACCTTGAAATTGACAGACACCAACTGTCTAGATGGCCCAAGAATTTAGGCCTAGTGTAACCTTTGTGTCTGCATGCTTCTGAATAGTGGTTCTGCCCTTCCATCCAAGTTACCCTGATAAAAGCTCTATTGCCAGATAGCCTTTTTGAGATAGCCCGGGTTGAGGGTTTTTTTAAAGTATAGGGATTGAACCCAGGGCCACATTCATGCTGGGCAAGTGCTGGACTACTACTGAGCTCATCCCTGACCCTGGGCTGAGTTTTAAATCTTGCCATTTCCCAATTTTGTGTGGCTGTGGGCAAGTTATACTCTGGGCCTGTCTCCTCATCTGTAAAACAAGGGTAGTGAGTGTTGAATTTTCCTGTCTTATAAGGTTGTTAAGTAGATGATAATGAGCTCATGTGTGTAATGGACTTACATATGTAATGGTGTGGAGTACGTCATTTAGAAATGTTATATGTGCTGCTGAAGCAAGCCTGGCAGTTAGCTATTTAGTCATCATTGTTACCACACCTGTAATTGAACTACATACAAAGAGAATTATATGAGTGTTGAGTAAATTTGAATTTTGTGATTTCCAGAGAGGAATCAGGACCTTTAGTCAGAAAGGTATCTCCAAGGGTGATTATGTCCACCCTCTCTTTTAAAGATGGTCCTTTTAATCAACTGTCATGTGGTCTAGCAGCTTCTCGTAGTCAGTTTCCTCTAATTCTGGCTCACTTTCACACAGTAACTCTAATATAAGAATTTGGCATTTCTCCTGCCATGGTTTAGTTTGTTTGTTTTTTGCAGTTCTGGGGATTGAACCCAGGAACTTGGGCTTTCTAGACAAGTGCTCTACCACTGAGCTACGTCCACTGCCCTTCTCTCCTGAGTTTTGATAGTATCTGCAGTCCTGGGGCAGGTGGATTTCGCTTCTATTGGGAAAAGATGGATAGCAATCCTTGAGCTTCTCTTCCACTTAGGTGCATGTTAACTAACTTGCCACTTATGCACTGACCTCTAGCATCTAGAGAACATTTTTCTGAGGTTTCTAGAAGAGAGATTGTATATACTTGATGCTTTTTGAAGTATCTGGACGTGATCACCTTGAACCTGCAATACATGCAGGTGAACGTCTTCCTCATCGATCTGTGTTTCTTCCTCCGAGTTTTTTCTGGGACATGGTCTTAATATGTTCTAGGCTGCTTTGAACTTGTGATCCTTCTGTCTCAACCTCCCAGAGTGCTAGGATTACAGATATGTGTTGCTATACCTGGCTTCTCTGAGATTTTTTTAAATGAAGTTACTTTATATATTTAGTAGATAATTATTTGGACCGTGATATATGGTTTTTTATTTCTTAGTATTTGTGCCAGCCCTTTAGGATTCTTGTTCACTTATTAATTGGACAAGTATGTACAAATAATTAAACACACGCACATGATTATACTTGGAAGCTTTCTGTAGGCCTTGTTAGCAGATGAGAGATTCACAGCAGTAAAGAGAATATTTTAGCACACAGCAATCTTTTTGGCAAATATTTATGTATTTTCCATGTTGCTTCAGTTCTTGATCTCTTGTCAGCAGGGGAATTTAAAAGGTAAAAACTCTTGTGTTTTTAAACTTTCTTCTTTTTCTAGACAGGGAGAAGACTAGTTCCCTCAAAGTACCACTAAATCAATTGGTTTTTTTCCCCTAACTTTATTCACACACTTACTGAGATGCTGTGATTAAACAGAAAATGAATCTGCCCTGTAGGTAGTCAGGCCTGCCTGAGGCCTTAATGATTGGACTGAATGATTATGAGCCAGGAACAAGGATTGCAGTGCCAGAGTGCATCTTGAAAGTTTGACAGAGCAGGACTGAGGTATAGCAGTCATCAGAGATTGTCTTGAAGAGAAGACAATGGTAAAGACCAGAAAGGA